CTCGATGGGATCTGGCATTACCATACATGTACACTGGCCTCATTCGGAGAGGGTGATTGTCAAAAAGCGGAATTACAACAGGAACAAGGATGTTATCACGTTACTTCGCAGCGTTTTATAGTGTACCTGGAACAGTCACTAGGTTTAGTTTGCAACCATAGGAGACACATCCCCATAACATAACAGAACCACCAACACTCTGATACGTTGGTTGGAAATGTGTTGGTGTAAAACGAGTGTTACGTTGTGGCCAAACACGAATTCTGCCACCCGTAGAATGCAGGAGCGTCCTACACTCGTCAGACCGATGGATGCGGTGCCATGATGCCATGTTCAAACGTGCTCTCGCTCTACACCACCTTTAGGGTTCATGAATGTGTCGATCTGTCAATTTAACGCGTCTGATATATCTAGGGGTGTAAGAGTTTGTGATCTGATATATCTAGGGGTGTAAGAGTTTGTGATCTGATATATCTAGGGTTGTAAGAGTTTGTGATCTAATATATCTAGGATTGTAAGAGTTTGTGATATGATATATCTGGGGTTGTAAGAGTTTGTGATCTTATATATTTGGGGGGGTAAAGGTTTGTGATCTGATATATCTCGGGTGGTAATAGTTTGTGATCTGATATATCTAGGGTTGTAAGAGTTTGTGATCTGATAAATCTAGGGTTTTAAGTGTTTGTAATCTGATAAATCTAGGGTTGTAAGAGTTTGTGATCTGATATATCTAGGGTTGTAAGAGTTTGTGATCTGATATTATTATCTAGGGTTGTAAGAGTTTGTGATCTTATATATTTGGGATGGTAAAGGTTTGTGATCTGATATATCTCGGGTGGTAATAGTTTGTGATCTGATATATCTCGGGTGGTAAATATTTGTGATCTGATATATCTGGGGTGGTAAATATTTGTGATCTGATATATCTTTGTGATTTGATATATCTGGGGTGGTAAATATTTGTGATCTGATATATCTAGGGTGGTAAGAATTTGTAACCGGATATATCTAGGGTGGTAAAGGTTTGTGATCTGATATATAGTAAATAAAGGTTGGTAAGGGTTTCTGATCAAAGGTTGAAATTAATCCAGTCTTGCGGGTCTATGGTTGGTAAGGGTTTGTGTTGCCTATTAAATTTCGGATGTTTGTAATCTAATAGATTTGGATGGTAAGAAATTATGGTTCATGTCCTGTCTTGTTTGTGGTAGATATGGATGGTAAAGATATGAGCATGCCGGTGTATCAGATCCAGGGTTTACAAGATATATATTTGCATACATGTAGAGTTAGTATATATTATAAATAAAATGGTTTAGAGAACCCAAGGTAAGGTGGTATATATTTTAATGGCTTAACAATAGCACATTCGGCCTCTGATCATTTTCCCATCAGAACTAAATGCTTTTTCCAAGTCAGTCCCTACAACCTGTCTACAGTCTGAGCAAGGGTCCAACTCACTATGCAGTTGGTTCTGGAACTCTACCCTGGTAAGGATATGAACGCTCTTGGCCAAANAGGATGGTAGCTCATGATCTGTTACGAAGCATTG